CCACGGCAGAGCTCCCATTTTGAAGGGCCACTAAACGGTGTGAGGGGGCCTCGCCGGCCGCCCCGCTCCAGATGCAGCGCAGGGTAAATCAGCCGGGTGAGGGCTGGCGGAATTGGACATTAGCACTGCAAATGAGAGCCAGGATTGCCCTCTTCTCCGAGACAACATGAATAAATGAAGGGAAAGTGTGTGTTGTTGTGTGGGTGCTTGTTGTTTTGTGTGTGTGTGTGTGTGTGTAAAAGCAAAGAAGATAAAAAAAAAGGGTGTGTGTTCCAGTGCGATGTCACACTCTAGTTGTCTCACCTGGCCTCATGTTATCACTTAGAACTGGTCAGTGTGTCTGACACCAGCCGAGTGTTTGGCACAGTTTTAATTATTATGTGTGTGTCCAGGTGTTGTTTTAGATACGACTGGTGATGGAGTACCTGAATTTTCTTTATTTTTCTATTCTATACCTTGCTTTAAAATATACATATTTCTTCCGACAAAAATCCAATTTATTATTAAAATAACTTAACTTTAATACGTGTAAGTTTAAATTGGCCAAATGATGCTTTAGATCAGTGATTGTGAGTATGCAATTCGAGTGTAAATAAACACAAGATTATAAATCTGACCAGACATTCAATCCCAACTTTGGTACTCATTTCTATTGACACATTACAGTTGATTAGAAGTATTAAGGTTCATTATCAAGTCCCAGTCCACGCATGTGTTCATGTTTGCATGAACAATGCATGTGTGTTACATGCAGTTCAGTTGCATAGAAATCAGCGAGTACTAGGGATGTGCATCTCCATCACTGAGGCCGATACGATGTGCATCTCGATACGCTGCCAACGATACGATACATTAACGATACCTTTGAAACACCAGGCGATACGATACGATTCACCCCTGTTGCGATACAGTTCAATACGATTTGATTGAACATTATGCGATTCGGGGCGATGCGAATCAACATGATGCAAAATAATGATACAATTCAATATGGTACGACAGAGGATTTTTTGTTTTATTCCTCATATGCAGCATATCATAAATTAACAAAAAAGTGATTTACATATTTGGTTCTCTCTACTAGTACTGCGCATCCCATCATGCGGTTTCTTTTTTACCTTAAAAAAAAAAAACACATGGACCTTTCACAAACTGGCCTTTTCACAAGTGTAGTAGTGTTCTCTGTCTCCAGAGTACAGTACAATTGTATAACACCTCACAGTTAAACAATGTAAGGATGCATTGCCTATGATTAACAATGTGCAAATAACAGCTACCATAGTGCAATGCCCATACAGCTGCCAGCCTGATGTGCTGAACACTCCTTCATAGGCTAACTCACCAGTGAGCAGAAAGCAGTGGGTTCTATATGAACAATAAAAAATACAAATAACCTTTCACAAACAGGTATTTCATAACTGCTTACAGTAAGGAAGACATTTAAACTATTATTGGCAGTCACAGGTAAACTAAACACCACTCTCTCTGACAGAACACCTCACTGAGTGATTTAACTCATAATCTAACCTTCAGGTTTCTCTTTTCAGCCGCAGACCCCATGTCGCCTCTTTATGTGCGTCGCTATGTTCCTCGTACTACTTGTGTACTTTAAAGCGGCTCGGCATCGTTTACAATTTGCGAGCGATTTTTCAAGTTGACCGTCTTTCTTGAAAAATCCGAAGTGTTGCCAAACGTTTGATTTGTAGGTATTTTTCGGTGCGCTGTGTTTCTCTTTCTCCTCGACTTCCATGTGTGTTGATAACTGAGACTCGCGGCCTCCGTAGTGCGAAGCAAAGATCAGAGATCGTCTCTGCGGAGTGCTGACAGGATGAGGGGATATTATATGAATGAATCGTTTTTTTACCGATGCAAAGACGCTACAATCGATGCATCGCGAGTTCCATCCAAACTGTAGCCGATGTGCACTCTTTCAACCGGTGCACTCGCATCTTGAACGTATATGCCGATGCGAATCGGTGAATCTTAACATCCCTAGCGAGGACACATTTTTCCTCTCAAATGTGTAGAAAAAGCTAAATGTGTGTGTTTGGACCTCACACAGCTTCCTGCCTTAGGGGGAGTGTGTGTGTGTGTGTGTGTGTGTGTGTGTGTGTGTGTGTGTGTGTGTGTGTGTGTGTGTGTGTGTGTGGTGTGTGTGTGTGTGTGTGTGTGTGTGTGTGTGTGTGTGTGTGTGTGTGTGTGTGTGTGTGTGTGTGTGTGTGTGTGTGTGTGTGTGTGTGTGTGTGTGTGTGTGTGTGTGTGTGTGTGTGTGTGTGTGTGTGTGTGTGTGTGTGTGTGTGTGTGTGTGTGTGTGTGTGTGTGTGTGTGTGCTACCCTACTGTGGTGTCACCTGTCTGCAGCAGGAAATCCTGGACTCTGGGCACAACAATAGTGACAGGCTCCTCTCCAGGCGCAGATGGCTTCGCTTTCCCCCCCCCCCCCCCACCAGCCACATTGCATCCCTGCATGCACCTGACACACTGTGACTCTTGAAAAACACACAAGTGATCAGCCACACCTCTTTTACACACACCTAAAAACTTGTGCACATGGCAGTAATTTCACTACTTTATCTCTCCTGAAATATAACACTTAGTTTGTTGGATGCTGTTGAACTCATTTCCCTGCCACGTTTTTTTTTTGGGGAGATATGCGCACAAACACACACATTAGCGCACAACAATACACACACCTCTTGTTCGCTGGCCTATACACATCTTGTCTCCTCTCTTTTCAAAAACTTCCCCTCTTTTCCCTATCCTCCTTGACAGCACAAAGTGGGCTTACGTTTTTGACTGACAACCACAACAGACACCTTCCCCCAATCCTCCCCCTCCACCCCCGTTTTAATCCCCTCCCTATCCCTCTCTCCCTCCCTCTCCCCTTCCTCTTTTGTTCTGAGTGACGCTCGAAAGCCGCCGTGTCAGCATCTTTTCCATCTCTGATTGCCTTATTAGCCGGCGGTGGCACCCGCAGCTTTTCTGACACAGATGGTGAAGGAGGAGGCTCCAGCAGGGGGTTGAAAAAAAAATGGCTGACTTGTGTTTGTTGTTGTTACTTTCCCATCCCACCTCCTCTCTGGCTTGTTTGCGTGGACACTGACACCTCGGGCTGACACTGACACACTCCTGACACTGAGGCCTGTCAAGGCAACATACGGAGGATGGCAGGGAAAGACTAGAATTTAATGTCAGTGTGTTTTCTGTGTCTGAATGTGTGTGTTTGTACTGATGTCAGGTTTCTCTCACTTTGTCAGCTAAGCGGCTTTGTCTTTAACTACTCTCCCCACATTGACTTTGAATAGGTTTAGTTTTGCATTTATTTCAATACAGTGGGCTGAATCTTGACAGGAAGGACGAGACAGGTTTAAAGAACGCTGTGCAGCTGCATTGCCAAAAGGTTAACATGTTCTAATTTAGTGACTAACTCAATTGAATTATTTCAGAGTGGCCTGAGTGTAATTAAAGCTTACAGTGAAGAGAAAGACTACCAATAGAATAGTTTAATTAAGAACAGGAACGTTGTACATTTGAGCATGTACGTTCTTTCTCATACTCTTTTACACACATGCGAGGCTGAGAGTTGCAGCTGTTGGACCTCCAGCTTTTCCCAGGCAGCAGTAACTGGCACCTCACAAACATCAGGTATTATGTCCATTCCGATTATGGGATAGAGAGCTACATGCTGTTTGAAGCTGACAGCACATCTGCCTCCTCACTGGAGACTGATTCTGGCACCTCAGACAAGCATCTTACGAGGAATGGATTGGGGGAGCTGCCTTAGCATATTTAACCCTAAACATTTCCCTCTCACTTCTTCTCTCTTATGTCTCTCCTAATCTGGTACCATTATCATATTTAAATCTTTTTATCCTCCTAGTATTGAAGAGAATTATTCCTTTTTTAATTGTTTTTATCTCGCTCATCTGAAGGAATTATAATGCAGATTTGATTATTTTTTGAACAAATGATTTGTAAAAATTGTTGACAGTTACAGAGAGTGGGCAGCCATTTTCCACTGATACAATAAATCTCTCTTGTTTTAAAATGGCACACTTGAAGCTGTGAGCACTCGAGGAGCACAGGCAGTAACAACACGGCTTGTCATGTCCACTGGCCGTTTCCGAGCACCACGCTGTGAGGACTTCCACAGTTGATGCCAAGTTGACTCCAGCCAACCATGGCTTGGCAGGGCTGATGCAGCTGGCATTTTCCTCCACTATCTCTTACTTGTGAATCCATAGCATGTGTGGCATGTTGGAAGAACAGAGCAAATCAAAGTCGGAAACAGATCTGTGGAAGCTTTACAGCAGCAAAAATAGACATTGAAATACTCTGCATCGACTAGTGGCTGTAGGCTGCTCTTGCATTTTAATTTGTTGATGAGGAAACATTTCTTAGAATTGATGAGTATTCTGAAATCTTGGCCCAAATGCAGTACATTCATCTTATTAATGTATTGTTACATTGACTCTATATTCTAAAGGAAACATCAGAGTAAGTCGTTAAAAGAGCAATCAGTGAGGCAGATTTTTCTCTTTCCTGTATTTTTTTCAATTGTTAAGAGACAAAAATGTCTTAATTTCTATTGTGAAGTAACAGATACCACCACATGATTAATAACTATCATCTTCGCTGGGGATTTGTTCTCTGTATGATATTACATTTGTGCTTGTTTTTAGTTTTTAAACTAAGCAGAAGCATTTCAGTGGCTCATCTCTGCTCTCTACCCTTGCTGAGATGTAGTGTTCAATAGCTTCATTAGGCAGCGCAGTGAAGAGGACTATTTGTCATTGTCAAGATATGGATGTTTGCCACTTTATTATTGCAGACCTGTGTCCTCTGCTGGGACAATCGACACAAATCCTCGTTAGGTTTATTGCACATACTACACTCATAAAGTAAGGGCGGTAGATGCATAATTTGTCTGATGTGAATGTATGAAAGTTATATTTACAAACAATATCTAATGTCCCTTTTCCTCTCCTTTGTGTTTTCCAGTTTACGGACCAGAGGATGAATTGAAACTGGATAATATTGATGAAGAAGAACATCTGCAAGATGATGGCCTTTCCCTGGATGGTCAAGATGCAGACTATCTTTACCACGATGACGAGGACGCAGGAAATCGTTATAGCTGCGAAAACTCTCCACTCAGCAATGGCACCAACCCAGACGCTGGGTACGCCTCTCCACTCAGCACCACCAGTGATCATCTGGTGGACCTTAAGACCGTGTCCTCCTTTGACGACCAGGAAAAGGTAGAGGAAAAGACAGCGGAGAGCACAGAGTCCATTAATGGTCTCTCAATACAGGACAGTCTGGCAAAAATGAAATCTGTCTATGCAAACTTGATCTCGGATGCCTCCTGGTCCAGCATTGCTCTTGACATGCTAAAAAGTAAACAAGGGAACAATTACCCAGCTAGCAAGGACAATGGGAGCAATCACAAAGGGAGCAATGGGATCCTGAACAGTCACAGCCCAGGCAACATCCATCTGAAGAGCAGGTCGAGCACTAGCAACCCCTCAGCCTCTACTAATATTACCATGAGCAGCACCACAACCAGAGCAGTGTCGAGCAACAGTGGCACCAGTGTAAGCTCTGGCAACACAGGAGGATTGGCCTATGACTGGCACCAGGCAGCGTTGGCAAAAACCTTTCAACATACCCCATACCAACTCCTTCCTGAGCACAGCCTTTTCAGCACCGTGCAGCTTTACAGGCAAAACAGCAAGCTCTATGGCCCCGTGTTTACAGGTGCGAGCAAGTTCAGGTGCAAGGATTGTAGTGGGGCCTATGACACTTTGGTCGGCCTGACGGTGCACATGAACGAGTCGGGCCACTACCGTGATGACAATAAGGATAGCGAGGATGATAAAAGCAGGAGGTGGTCCAAGCCACGTAAGCGGTCTCTGCTGGAGATGGAAGGCAAAGAGGATGCCCAGAAAGTTCTTAAGTGCATGTACTGTGGCCACTCCTTTGAATCCTTGCAAGACCTCAGTGTTCATATGATCAAAACTAAACACTATCAGAAAGTGCCTCTAAAAGAACCAATCTCAGCCCTAACTTCAAAGCTGGTACCCCCAACCAAAAAAAGAGCATTTCAAGACTTGATGTCCCCGAGCTCGCCAGAGTCTGTCTCATCAGGCATACACATGGGAGAGCATCCTAGAGACCAAAGAGTGACCAATCCTTATGTCACTCCAAATAATCGATACGGTTACCAGAACGGTGCCAGTTATACTTGGCAATTTGAGGCACGCAAGGCCCAAATTCTCAAATGCATGGAATGTGGCAGTTCACATGACACCTTGCAGCAGCTCACAGCCCATATGATGGTCACAGGACATTTTCTGAAAGTAACCAATTCAGCCTCTAAAAAGGGTAAGCAGTTAGTTTTTGATCCTATCATTGAGGAGAAGTTTCAGTCAATTCCTCTGCCACCGACTACCACACGACTCCCAGCACCCAATGGGAGGTCACAGCCCGGCTCCCCACGGCCGCCCACTGCCCCTGAAGAGAAAAATGAAGTCATGAAAGATGAAGAGGCAGAGGAGGAGAAAATGGAAGCAATGGAACCAGAGAAAAAAATAAAAGAAGAGAAAGAAGATCTTCCCGAAAAAGCTGATAAACCTAAAAAGATCAGATCTTACCAATATCTCAGAGAAGAAGACTTGGAAGAGGCCCCTAAAGGGGGCTTGGATATCATAAAGTCTTTAGAGAATACAATTTCAAGTGCAATCACCAAAGCCCAAACAGGCTCACCAACCTGGGGTGGATACCCTAGCATTCATGCCGCCTATCAGCTTCATGGATGCTTTAAGTCTACTTTACCATCATGTGCACAAGTCCAGCCTCTGTTCAGCAGCAACAGTTTGAAGCTACTTTCCTCTGATTTAGGCACACTGATCCATTCACCTAATAGCCCCTCTCCACCGCCCAGTCACAAGAGCAATGTGCTGGCCATGGAGGAGCTGGTTGAGAAAGTGTCAGGGAAAACTTCAGTAAAGAGTGAAATGGAGGAAAAAACTGTACGTAATAAGTTCAGGTCAACAAAGTCTCCAATGCCAAATCCTAAGGACAAACGGGCTTCACCCAATCCAGAAAAAAGCTCAAGGGCAGGAAAAAATACTGTAGTAGGGGATCAGAATGAATTGAGACGGAGAGAAGGAGAGCAGGCAGAGAGTAAAGTACAGGCGCATATAAAGAGTGAAGTTGATTCACCAAAAAAACCTGTAAGCAATGGCTGCAATAACCTGAGCATCATCACTGATCACTCACCTGAACAACCACTTGTGAACCCTCTTAGTGCTTTGCAGTCTATCATGAACAACCACTTGGGGAAAGCTGCAAAAGTGGCTACTCCATTTGTAGACCCCTTTGCAATGCTTTATAAGATCAACAACCACTCTTCTCAGATTAAGTCAGCAGAGCCCGTGAGCCAGTGCTGCGATGAAGAAGATCAGCCCATGGACTTGACAAAATCCAAAAACACCAACGGAAGTACGCCCAAGGGTGCTTCTACACCAAACAACAATGGCAGCGTCAACAACAGCAAACCATCTTACAAAGATTTCTCACAGTCCTCATCTCCGCCTCTACGGGAGAATGCTTTGATGGATATTTCAGACATGGTTAAAAATCTGACGGGCCGTTTGACACCAAAATCTACAACCCCTTCTTCCGTCTCTGAGAAGTCGGATCTTGATGGCTGTTCTTTTGAGGATAGCCTGGAGGAGCTGTCTCCCATCCAAAGACGGAAGGGTCGACAGTCCAACTGGAATCCGCAGCACCTCCTGATCCTCCAGGCCCAGTTTGTCTCATGTCTTAAGGAGACTCCTGAGGGGAAGTTTGCGATCAGTGACTTGGGACCCCAGGAACGGGTCCACATCTGTAAATTCACTGGACTCTCCATGACCACCATCTCACATTGGCTGGCCAATGTAAAATACCAGTTAAAGCGGACAGGTGGCACAAAGTTCCTAAAGAGTATTGACTCTGGCCAACCTCAGTTTTTGTGCAATGACTGTGCTTCCCAGTTTAGGACTCCCTCCGCCTACATTCACCATTTGGAGTCCCACCTTGGGTTCACCCTGAAGGACCTCTCAAAGCTTTCCATAGATGTATTAGAGCAGCAACCAGTTAGCAGAATAGAGGACAAGACTTTCAGTTCCTCTGGACTTACAGAAGAAGACACTGGCTCAATATATCAGTGCACACTGTGCAATCGGACATTTGCGAGCAAACATGCAATCAAATTGCACCTTTGCAAATCACACGGAAAGTCGCCAGAGGACCACATTATCTTTGTGAGAGAGTTGGACAAACAATGAAGATCAAGCTGATAGCATGACAGATTACTGTTGCACTATAACTCTAAGCTACAATCTGTCACAACAGATAATGCCACACCTGTATTGAATATTGTTACAACACATATTGTAATGACAACATGGTAGCTTTAATACCACATACTGTAATTATTCTGTTATCCATAAATGGCAGGATCTTGCACTGCAGAGGCTCAAAGCTACATTTTCAAAGTAGAGTTTTTGTTGACATACACGTACCAAATTGGTGCAGGGGCCATGGCACTATAGTCACTGACTGATTGTTGCTTTCCTAATGCACTGCATCTTATCTGAGCCTTTGGGAAAAGTCCATCTGTTTTAAAACTGGACTCTTATTTTGATGACTGATTTTGAATGATTTTTTCAAGATGAATATATTTCAACAAAACTTGCATATTATTTATGAGACAGTTTGTGCATGTTTTTATGTAAACAGTAAACATATTATGTCTTACTAAATTTCAACCATAATGACATTTCCCTGTTTATCAAATTGCAGGTTTGGCTGTTTAAATGAAGGTATATGGTTATAAAAGTAGCCATCTGAAATAAGATGTTCTAAAGTATTAAGAATATTTCAGCACTTTAAGTAAGTGTAAATTGATGAAGAAATGTGTGGCTAAAATGACAACACATAACCCTTTTGAGTTTTAATTCCCTTGTTCAACATGGCAGTTTGGGGGACAAACTATAATATTATATTGTTTTTGCCATTAAATCACAGAAAATCTTATAAAATGTTTAGCATATTTGTTTCTCTAGTAAAATATAATTTTCTGGTTGTTTCAACATGTACAGTATTTGCGTTAGTAGGCTACCGATTTTATTATTGTGAAGCTACAGTTGTAAAATTAATGAAGTTTAAAAGTTGTTGTATGAATAATCAGCAAGTGTGTATACATGTATTTCAGCATATCTTGCTCTTTGCAGTTCAACATTATTTGTACTGTGTGCATTTTTATAATGTTATTTTCTTGACAATAATGGGGGGAAATGTAAGAAACTACAGAATATTGTCGGACCACATTGTCCTTTTTCAGTGAAAAGTAGGTCCTTCAATCATGTGGTTTACATAAAATGAAAGATTTTACCTCCGTCTGCTCTGATGCACGGTCCTGTACATAACATTGAAAAAATAAATTCTCACCCAATGATAGATTTGCAGGTTTTATCATCAACCCAATTATTCAGAATGGCATTCTTTTATCCTGAAATAAACTCCATGTCCTGGATTACATTTCTGTGTTGTTTGAGTGATTTTGGAAGAGTGTGAAATCCAGACAGACCAAGAATACAATATCATACGACAAGCTTTGAAATGGTACTGCATCTTTAAGAGGAAAAACAGTTTGTCCGACTTTTTATGGATGTGTGTGTAATTGAACTCCTCCACAATTCAAAGGAGGGCCAGTTTCAACAACTCAGGGGACTTTTGGGAGAAACATTCAAACCCGGCATTCATAACCTCCCATTTTTCAGCTGGGCTTGATTTTGATACGCCGACAGAGCAACCCAGTCTCATGGCATTTCGTGTTCACCAACACGATTTTTAATCTATTGATTCGTGTTCACCAACACGATTTTTCCCTTTTTTTCGTGTTGCACAGCACGATTTTAAAAGCAATGTATTTCTACTGGTAATGACGCTCATGGAAGCACGGCATTTGTTTGTGTCGGCTGCCCTTAAAGGCAATGTGAGCGTCCATTCTCATTGGATAACGGAGAATTGTACACCCGGAAGTAAGTATTCCCCTTACTGTCGATTGATTTTACAGTGATATCTGCACTACTCATCGACTAAAAAACACCAGATTATCCTTGTTAATTACACAACATTGATTGGTTTAAATTGTGTGCAATCCTTTTGTATTTTTCCCCTTCGATTCGGAGAAACAAATATTTTTTCGGAGTAAAGGATGGCAGAAGACACTACACTACCCAGAATCCCCAGCTATCGTTTGGACTACACCATGTGCTCTATTTGACAAACCCCGTTTTTTTTCACCATTCATTCCAATGGCTGGCGTCTATGTCACGTGATCTTCAAATTACTCCCTGCAGAAGAAAAAAAACATGGCCGAACTTCGTTTTATTCTCGGTGGAAAATGCCTATTTTAAAGTTAGTTTGGCCATTAAAATGATGTCATTTGATGCAAGAAATATGAGTTGTTATTTCAGATTATGTGTGCAGTGGATGTACATGATCTTTAGTTTGCTAGTTATTACGAAGATTACTTCAGGAAATTGCGTCCATAGAACGTTTTCATTGTTACCAAGGTGGTTGCTTGGGACGCTGCTCTCGATATTATTTCTGTTATGTTGTGTAACTGTTTAATTGTGTTATCTTTATTGCTACCCCCTTCCCCGTCAATGTATAGTGTTGGTCCACAGCGCAAACATATTAGTTTAACAAAATCCGCATCTAAAGATAGCCTACGTTATTTTCCCCTGTGCAATCCCAGTCTCACATCTCACAGCACATCGTCATTAACAAATACCGGAAACAGACCGAAAACATTTAAAAAAAAAAAAATAATACTTTATTCCGAGTGTGCTTGCTTTTCTCTTTGAAAGTCATCACATAACGGCATTGTAATACACGGTTCGGCTGCATTAAATATTACATATCTGCCGTAGTTCTGTATTTATATAGCCCTGATGAGAAGACTTCTAGACAAACATGAGGAACTGAAAACGTGACGTGGATCATAAATATATCAGCCATTAAACAACATCTTACATTTCTTTTCACACAATACGTCTCCTTGCAGTATCAACACTTATTCGGCTGACTTTTATATTTGATCCAATTGGTAGATAGGCTGTATTTACACCATAAAGGTGCACAGCTGATATAAAGGGACACCTAGTGGTTAAAGCATGTTATTGAATTTCATTATTTTTATTAGATATTAATAGGATCCCTATAAAGTATATTAATTACTCGTTATTCTCTACTAATAGTTAATTAAAGACTGTATATAATGACTATTTTGCACATCCCTTTCAAGATTTCAAGATTTTCTAAGGTTTATTGACATATCATAAAGGCCTACACAACTATGGTGTAGTTATGCATTGAATGAAAAACTTGGATCGCAGGTTCCTCAATAGTGCATTACAAGACATCTATCAATATTTGTGCATACCTCCAGCAATGTTAACTATGTTGAAGCACTTATTTTAACTGATATTATACATAATGTATTATACTCTTATAAGATGTATGTAGATATTTCATCTCCGGCCTTGTCAGGTATTGAACAATCAATAAATAAAGAACACAGAATTGTTAAATATAAAACACAGAATTTGTGTGATTATACTAAATGATTTACAAATAAACACCACTGCATATTTACAACTGTTACACATGCTGATGTAACGCAAATGTTCCAACTTGGGATCAATAAAGTATATCTTATCTTAAGCTGATCGATGGCTACTGCCATATTTGCAAAATTTGCCTCTGAACCTTGACAAGTGCATGTTTCAGGCTTATCAATTAATGTAATGTTATAAATTAACAACAGGGGTCACAAACATAAGACCAGCTGTTAAATAAAGCTCTTCTGACCTTAGCTGGCATATGTGTGTATATATATTAATGCTGCACAAGCATGAGTGTCATTACCAGTAGAAATACATTGCTTTTAAAATCGTGCTGTGCAACACGAAAAAAGGGGAAAATCGTGTTGGTGAACACGAATCAATAGATTAAAAATCGTGTTGGTGAACACGAAATGCCATGAGACTGGGTTGGACAGAGCCACCATTTTAGCTGGCTTTACTGGGAAAAACAGTGACGGCCACAGGAAGTTGTCCAAATGTGTATTCTCATATGGGCTTGCTGCTATCACTGAACCATCTCCAGGTCCCACTGAGAGAGCAGCAGTTTTTCCTATGTTAGCAACAGCCCTTCTTAATCTCAGCAATTTCCATAGGAACTGAAGTGTTGAAGCAGCGTTCCCTGCAACAGGTTTCAAAGCTCACCCTGCAGGGCCGGGATCTCTGACTCTGACATGGCTACAAGCTCAGCAGCCTCGGGTGCCAGATCTTCAGTCCCTTTGGAGAGGAGGAGAGCAGCTCCTTCCACACTGCACTCCCTTAGTTAGAGATCGCAGCAGGCTGAACAGGAGAAACAGACTGCTGGTTTGAGTCCACTGCTGTGCCGCTGAATGATAGCAGAGGAAGGTTGTGATCCAACTCAGAGCTCAAAGAATGGTCCACATCTTCCAGCTGACAGTTAAAACTTGACATGTCTAGCGGAGAAGGCCTCAGATAGATAAGTAATGTTGTTAGTTCTTGAAAAGGGACAGTTTCAGCTCATATCTACCAGTTCAATGTACACTTTTAATGTAATTTACAAGACCAACAACTCTTAATACTGGTTAATTAAATCACATTTTGTTTTAGTTATTCATCTATAATATCTTATATTAAATGTTGTATTTAAATATGCATGACAAAACAAACAAACCTTTTACTTAAACTTTAAATATAGATAGTAAATAATAAGAATGCTGCTTTACGGGATGTTATGTGATGTACTTATGTACTTGACTTCCTGTTGACCCGGTTAGGTTACCTATCTTTACACCTTGTTTCTTACAGATTATCAAACAAGACTCAGCATCTTAGTTGAGCTTCAGAGGTGCTGGTAGGTGGATCTTGTTTTCATGTGGGTGAAGCTAGGCTAGCTTTCACCCTGTTGCCTATCTTTATGCTAAGCAATGCTAACTTCAAGTAGAGCTGCTGGCGAGAGTGGTATTGATCTTTTCCTCACTATCTGATAGAAAGCCAATTAGCCTATTTACCAATGAATCAGACTACTGTTTTAGGACAACCTCTTTAGCAGCAGGTTTCTTCTTGTGGGCAGAGCAAAGGTCTGGCTCAACTGGCTGGTAGGAAAATGGTCAAAATCACCCTGTAACATACAGTTCAACACTATCGAGTGAAAACTGAGCACACGATTTCTAATGCAACCTGGTGCACAAAGTGTTAATGCGAGGTGTTTTAATTCAGACACCATGAGGAGCCCAAATCAGTGAATGTGTATTAGCAATTTCAAATAGACATAATCCCTATAAAGGGGAAAAAAGGGAATAAAACATTGTCGTAAAAAAACAGGATTTGACTTTAAGGTTTAACATAGCGCTACGCTTTATAGTTCAGCTAGTGAGACAGCTGATAAAAGAGGCCATGGCATGTCTCCACTGAAGGTATTTAAGTCGACATGCTCCCACCCTACGCAGCTCTTGAACACTAGCCTGAGGCGTTTTCCTGAAGAAACAATAGAGTTCCAGAGCCTCACAGCGCTCTGTGTGGCGGGGAAACTCTAGAAGCAGCAGACGAGAAGTACAGAGAAGAGTCACGCACAATAGAGGTGCCATATGATAGATGGCAGCGTGCAGGAGCTAATGTAGAGAAAGTTAAAGAATATATGCAACAAGGAAGACTGAAAACCAGACACATAATAAACATAATATACATGTTTCCTATAAAGACATTTTATGCTCAGAAAAGAGCACAACACATTTTAACTTTAAAGAATATCCTAATTTACTGCATGACAGAAAACAGTTAAAATAGCAGATAGTTCATATAGTACACATCATATTGGTTTCATTTGACTAACCGAGTTAGCTCTGTGGAGTATTTAACACTTGTCCCACTCAGCCTCGCTCAGTGAATACATGTATTATGATGTTGTCGTTGTATCAAACATGGTCTCTAAAACAAGCCATCTTTGTCTTGTCACAACAGATACAAAAGCTCCTCGTATGACTTTGTCAGGCGGGCGATGTTTTGTTTGTTCTCTCGTGAATCTTGTTTGCTTTAAAGCAAACACAAAATAAATTGGCTCAGTGTCATCACCATTACCAGGTGAGCAGAGGCTCACGAGACAGCAGCACAAATCTGATGTTAAACAAAAGGGTGTTTATGACAAGAAGCGTCGTGATGCAGCCTGTTATCCATTTATAATAATCACAACGGAAGGCTTCCAGTCGCAGTAAGCTGCTCTGCTACTGAGTGCAGTAACATCTGTACATGCATGAAGTATTACGTGTCAGCGAGATGCACACAGCGGTGCGGGCAGGGTTTGAATCCTTGTGACATGCATTTCATGTGTACTCATGTGCGATTTGGTCAATTAACCCTGTGCTTTCTTGTCCCCCCTCACAGCTTTCTGGGCAACCTTCTGTTGATCTCGGCTTTGTTCGACACTTTCAAAAT